GCCGCGCTCGGGCTGAGGCTGGGCGCACTCCCTCCGCGGCCGCCGAGCCGAGCGGACGCCCCTCGGGGCCGCGCCGCAGCCCTCCGCGTCCCCCCTATCATGCCCCGGGCCTGGGCCGGGGCCGCCGGAGCAGCCAGAACACCATGCCCGAGGGCGGCTGTGGCGACGGTGGGGAGGTGCCTGCGCTCATCCCGGACGGCGAGCCGCTTCGGGAGGAGGTACCTGCGCTGGGTGGTTGGTGACCCGAGCCGGGGCTGGAGTCGGGCGAAGGGGACTAGCAGAGGGGATGACCCCCAGGAAGGGGGTTGAAGAGGGAAATCCTGGAGCCCCTATAGCCAATGACGTCATTGGAAAGCCCGCATTTGGGCAGGGGTCCCAGACCTAAGGGCCGGCAAGAGGTGGGGCGACTGGGCAGGAAAATGGGGAGGCGACTCCCACCCTCGGCGCCCCCTCAACTGTCCTAGCCCATCCGGTGACGTCAGCGCCTGGCCCCTACGCGTTCCCATGCCGCAGCACAGCCTGGGACTCCCACCCCCAGGGCCACAGGGTCAGGCCCCCAGCCCGGCTCAACTGCTCACGAGGTGCCAGGCCGGCGCCTGCAATGCAGCAGCAGTGATAGGGCCTGGGGGTGGGGGAGGGAAGAGGGCAATGAGAAGGGAGGCGGCCTGGTACCCCTTCTTCCTTCTGGTGAGGCCTAAGGGTCACCCTGCTGGAACCCCCAGGAAGATCTTCCTCCAACCTAGCCAGGAAGGTCTGCAGGGACCCTGTGCCGTGGGGTGAGGGGTATGGGGGCCGGTGGTGAGTGAAGGTAGCATGCCCATGTGTGGGGTGTGTGTGAGAATTCCAGTGTGTATGTTCCCTACACTTGGGTAGGTGGGACTTGTGTGCCCTATGGTCACTTGAGGATCTGGTGGGTCCCTTGGCTTGGGTCTTTGCCCAGCAGTGCCTATGTGTGTGAATGTGTCCTGTCATGGGTGGGTCTGTGGTTTGGCATGGAGTGCCTGTGTGGGTGTCAAGTTGCTGTAGAGGTGGGGCATGTGCAATGTGGTGAGGTGAAGGTCTGGTGTGTCTCTGGGATTTATAGAGTATGTGACGTGTGTGTGCATGTGTATGTGCTATGGTGGTGGTGGTGGTGGTGGTGGTGGTGGTATGTGTGTGCACCTTGATGTGATTGCAAGGGTTTGTGCTTTAGGGACAGGTGAAGGGGTGAAGGCCTGATGTTTCTTCGATGACAGGTCATGTGTTCCTCCTTGGGGAGGGGTCTGTGATAAACACTGGCTGGAGGTGGATGAGTGGTACGTGCACCTGACTGGCCATGTGGGGCTGGGTATTGGGTGAGGGAGATAGGCTGCCCTGGGTGGGGCTGGAGCCAGTTCTCCTCTCCTTAAGGCCTTGTGGGTCTGGGTAGGAGATGTGGCCACATAACCTGACCTCTATTATTTCTGCTTCCTTCTGCCCCTTTTTAACCTTCTTCTCCATGCTCCCCACCCTCTTCTCTCTTGTGGGGTGAGGTGGCCAGGCTGGCAGCCCTGCTGAGGAGGGTGGGCCAAGCCCTAGGGCCAGAGAGTGGCCCCTGCTGCCCAGCAGCTGTGTCCCTCCCACTCCCTTAGCACAGATGGGGAGTGGAGGGCGGCCCTCCATCTGCTCCCCACCCCAAGACTCACACCTCCCCCACTCCCAGCTCTCCCTCTTTCTCACTGACTTAAAAGCCTCTCCAAGTCTCCTGCTGCCCCTAGTGGAATAAGGACCTGAGAGAGTCTCAGGATAACAGTAATAATGTTTATTCCCCTGGGCAGACCCTGTGCTAATATCTTCACATTTACAATCTCCTTGAATCCTCACAACCCCAGGTTACAGATGAGGAAAATTGAGGTCCAGGGAGTATGAGGGACCTGCCCAATTTATACTGTAAGTTGCAGAGCAGTATCAGATCCTGGGCTGTTAAACTCCAAAGCTCATCCTGTTGGACCCTGGGCCCCTGCCAGGCTGGCCTCCCAGACCACCAGGGCCAAGAGTCAAGGCCCAGAGAGGGCAGGGATATGGCCAAGTCCACACAGCAAAACAGGGTAGAGCTAGAACCACCAGCACTCAATTTTCTCAGTAGCCAGCACAGTAGAAGACAGGCTCAGAGCTGGTGGGCCTGGGTTTGAATCCTGCAATAGCACTGGGCTGGCCAGAAGCAAGGTCTGAAGCAGTGGACTCAATTCCTTACAGCCTCAATTTCTGCTCTACACAGTGGTCCTGGGGCACCACTTCCTTCACCACCCGAGCAGGGTGGGCTTAAGCAGGGTGACTGGCCCAACCATGGGCTCCATCCTGACTTCATCCTCCCTGTCTCTGCCCACCTTGCAGCAGCGGCCCCTGAAGCAGTCCTTTGGAAGCTCCCTGTGCCGGGAGTCGCACTGGAAGTGCCTGCTCCTCACACTGCTCATCCATGCCTGCGGGGCTGTGGTGGCTTGGTGTCGCCTCGCCACCGTGCCACGTCTCGTCCTGGGGCCCGAGGCAGCCTTGGCACGTGGGGCAGGGGGTCCTCCACCCACCTACCCGGCCAGCCCCTGCTCGGATGGCTACTTGTACATCCCACTGGCCTTTGTCTCCCTCCTCTACCTCCTCTACCTGGCTGAGTGCTGGCACTGTCACGTGCGGTCATGCCAGGCACCTCGCACGGACGCCAACACCGTGCTTGCTCTGATCCACCGGCTACAGCAGGCCCCGCCCTGCGTCTGGTGGAAGGCCACCAGCTACCACTACGTGCGGCGCACACGCCAGATCACCCGCTACCGCAACGGTGATGCCTACACCACCACGCAGGTCTACCACGAGAGGGCCGACAGTCGCACCGCACGCGGCGAGTTTGACTACTCTGCCCACGGGGTCCGCGACGTTTCCAAGGAGCTGGTGGGCCTGGCCGATCATGCGGCCACGCGCCTCCGCTTCACCAAGTGCTTCAGCTTCGGCAGCGCTGAGGCCGAGGCCTCGTACCTCACGCAGCGCGCGCGCTTCTTCAGCGCCAATGAGGGCCTGGACGACTACCTGGAGGCCCGCGAGGGCATGCACCTGAAGGATGTGGACTTCCGCGAGTCCCTCATGGTCTTCGCAGACCCCCGCAGCCCGCCCTGGTATGCGCGCGCCTGGGTCTTTTGGCTGGTGTCGGCAGCCACGCTGTCCTGGCCACTGCGCGTGGTGGCGGCCTATGGCACCGCCCACGTGCACTACCAGGTGGAGAAGCTGTTCGGCGCCAGCTCGCCCCCTCCGGGGGCCGTGCCCAGCGGGCCGCCTCTCTCCCGTGTGGCCACGGTGGACTTCACCGAGCTCGAGTGGCACATCTGCTCCAACCGACAGCTGGTGCCCAGTTACTCAGAGGCTGTGGTCATGGGCGCCGGTTCTGGCGCCTACCTGCGCGGCTGCCAGCGCTGTCGCCGCTCTGTCAGCAGCAACTCGCTGCCCCCTGCCCGGCCCAGTGGGCCCCGCCTGCCCTTCAGCCGCAGCCGCCTTTCCCTGGGTGCAGGAGGCCGGGCCACTCCTGGGGTCTTCCGCAGCCTGAGTGGGGGGCCACTAGGGCGCCGTGGAGAGGACACGGAGCCCCTGGAAAGCCCACCGTGCTATGAGGATGCCCTTTACTTCCCGGTGCTCATTGTCCACGGGGACAGTGGCTGCCGGGGGGATGGGCAGGGTGCACTCTGAGAGCCCCAGAGCCACCCCTCACCATGGGCAGAGATACCTGAATAACTGTCCAAAATACGAGGGAGAACAGACCAGCCACACATCAGGGGTGGGGGCGGGACCGGGGTTCCCTAAACAAAAACGCAGTGACCTGTGTCATTCATGGGAAATGGACGCCACCTATGTTGAATCTATATCCATCCCCAGCATGGTTCCCCCCAACTACCATCTTCCACTCCCTGTAATGGCAGAGGACCAGGCCTGGGGGCCCTGCACATTGTGCAGGAGAGGAAGGTTCCAGAAAGGCTGGAAAGAGAAGGAGTCCTGGAGACAGCTGTAGCCTGCAACAGAGAGCTGCACGCTGGGCTCCTTCCTGCCGTGGCTGAGGCCTTGCTGGGAGCCCTCCAGCAACACAGAAGCACAATGTAGAGGTTTGGGGCCATGCCCACTGGGTTGGCCTCCCCGAAGAGAAGAGCTGGAGGAGGCAGCATGGTGGCCTCGGCCCCACTGCCCACCCAAATTTCCCACCCCCTTCACATGCTAGGTCCTTCCCTGCCCACCCTCTCACCTCTGCTCCAGGGCAGTCCCTGATCTCACCCTGCAACGCAGCCCTCTCCTCTGGGAGCCTGGTTCTGGGAGCACAGTCTCACCCATCCTGCTCTTCTCCCTGGTGCCCATACACCCTCTCCCACCCAGATCCCTCCCCTGTGACCTGGGGCCCCCAACAGGCCCCCCACAGTCCCTGGGCTCCACTCTGCCTCCTGAAGTTCCTGTCTGCCTCCGTTAGCCACACATACACCCCAACCTTGTGCTCATTTCTCCCGAGGCTTCTCGTCTTCACCTTCCTGATGATCCATGGGACACACAGGGAGCCAGGACATCCGAGGGGCCCTGGCCCTGGCCACCGCCTCTTGGACGATGCCCTTGACTTGCCCTGGGTGCCACTGTTTCTCCCATCAGTGGAGCCTGGCCCAGGGGACACCACCCCTCCCCCAGGGAGGAGAGAGTAGTCCCTTCCCTCCAACTGGGGCTTCCACCCCCTCTCAGGGCCCGGTGGGGGAGGGAGGAGGCTGAGAAGGTGCAGATTAAATAAAGATATGAATGGAAGGGCTTCTGTGCATTCCTGAGTGGTGAGTCCAAGGTTACCACTGCAAACAAGATGGATATCCACCCTGGGTCAAGGTGTACTGTTGGATTCTGGGTGGGGGACCAAGAT